TAGTAATAAAATAATATTAATTATGGTTATCTTATCATGGTACATGTACATGTATAGTTATACCTGATGAAAGAGGACTCATCATTATCATTGCTGAAGGTGAATACTGAATTTTTGAAGGACACACTTCAAGTGGTAAGTAAGGAATTTCTATGTGAAATTATTAAATATCAACATTAAAGACTCATTGAAACATTTCTCATTGAAACATTTCATAGTGCAGTACCCGGTACACACATTTAGTATTTATTGTATATGTGTACATTATGTAGTGAGTAGATGCTGTATTTTTCAATATACTGTAAAACTACAAATTTTAGTGTGCTACTTATTTTAGCGATATTAGCGAAGAGCCTAAACACGCTAAATTTAATATTCACTAATAAAAACACCCGGTCACGTGATCACAAGATGTCGCTAATACTCTGCTGATACTAGTAGATGGCTCTCTTGAGTCTCTTCTGCTCGGTCGGCGACACTACCAGAGGAAGGAGAACCCAGTGGAACGACAGCAGCAGCTAACAGAAAAGTGGGAAAGGTTTAATGATACGCCAAATTTAATAGTCGCTAATTTGACATTTAAGCATAAACGCTAAATAAAGTAGCCGCTAACATTAATAGGTTTACAGCACCCACTATACCTATTGAACCATTCTTAACAGCAGGCCCAATGACATTAGTAATAGTAACAGTATAATTATACACAACTCCTTCAGTGACGTTAGTGAATATAAACAGCTTGTCAAGGAGACAGTCCATTGATGACTGAGTTAAGTTAGTGACAGTCAGTTCACAGGACAATGGAGTAGGCTGTTGGTTGATGTAATTATCCTATAAAATATAACAATTGGCAAGTTTTTTAATGCTACACAGCATAAGGACATCAATATACATCAGACAATGTAATTGGGTGATTTTGGAGCGATTTTATAGTATATATTCATACATAGCCATTTTATATTTTCAAAAATTGGCCGATTTCTTAAAATGGCCCTAACTTTAAAAAATTTAAGTTGGAATCACCTCAAACATTCTACAAAGCATTTATATGTATTTTAAAAATTATGATTTTACTATTAACAATTCATTTGCCATGTACAGAAATGATTAAGTTAATACCAAAGCACTATATTACCTTCATTATTACATTCAGTGACATGCTGTTACTAATAATAGCCTCAACTTCAAAATTATAGTCTAAAAATAGAATTGATGCTATTTATATCAGCACAGAGTAAACTGATATACTTAATAACAATAGGTACATATATCATTTAGGGCAAGATACACTGTGTACCATATTTCCTTAAATAGAAGCTGCATGTGAATAAACGCCAGGGTAGCAATAGAATTGAACTATAAATATGCAAATCCAAGTGTGCATACTGCCTTAAGTTCCAGAAGTCAAGTGCAAGAGGTCACGGGTTCAATTCCCACTCTGGGCCAAAGTTTTTTTATTTTTTATATATTTTTCGAGGTCCAAATACCATTTTAGGAAATAGACGCCCAGGCTTTTATTTAAGGAAATACGGTATACTATTATGATTAAATCACTCACTGTTAAATTGATATTGAGTTGATAAGTTACCCACTGCTCTTCCATAATAATCAACACTATTAACCAATACATCAATACTGCCAATAGCTCCTCCAGTATTATACAATAGACTCATTCCACTGGTAGTATTAACATTAGTTCCATTAATGAATACATCATATGATTGTATACAATCAGCTCCAGCCCAAGATATTAATAATGTATCTGATGATACAGCATCAACATGAAGATAACTGATAGCCATTGAATCTATAATAGAAGATATGTATTAATCTAATTAACTAATAATTTATTAAATTTATAAGCATAAAAAAATTAATTAATACAACAATTGTTATGAGAGAAACAACATCACTCAACAAGATCTATACACAAAACATAACCTAATTGTATTTCTCACTATGCTAACAGTAATAATTAATAAGAAACATGGTGCTAACACTGCTGAATTCTATGCATGCCTTTACAGGTAGGCATGACTACCGATAGCGGGATTTATTGATAAAGGTTTTATTTTGACAAGTTGATGATTTAAAATACGTCAAATTTTATAACCGTCAAAAATTTTGTACTTTGTGCCGCGTGTATGCGAAGGGCACTATTCGTCAAATTAAAACTCACCAACCAGGCAAATTTATTGTTTTCATCAAATTTTTTACTTGTCAATAAATCCTGCTATATGGTATAATGGAATGCTAAAACAATGTAACAATAGCATAAACATGCTAGGTCAGAACTTATAAACAAGTAACCTATCTCTTATTCATAAAATCCACTTCACATTAGATATTGTATTAATTCTACAAATTAGTTTAAGTGCTGTAGTAGCAGTTTGGTCATGTGATGTATTACAGAGTACTTATTATAAATAGCCGTTATTATGAGCTATACATTAATGATTGGTAATGCTTCAGTTGAAAATTCCTACGCCAATTTGAAGTATTATTATAATAAAATCTTACGTTTAACATTAAAGGTGATTTGTTGTCTTATACTGGAACCTGTGATGATTAATGTATTCCTACACTCAAGGGTACTCCCATTTAATGAAGCAGACACATTAACACTTGCAACTGACACCAGTATACCATTACCATGAGACTGTAATATGAAACTGAACGGTGCAATAGACTGTGGTTGGGTATGACCACTGGTGAAACTGGTTATAATTCCTCCATACGTCCATACTAGTATAGATCCAGTTACATTACATGTGATTTTTAGTTCTCTTTGACAAATAGATACTGCACCATTTGGCAATAATATGACTATAAAAAGATATATAAGTCAGTAGGTCGGAGTGATTACCACTGAGGTCAGTGAGGTAATGCCAACTATCATTTGAGGCAGGGGCAGATCTAGGATTGAATTTCTGGGGGCCTTAATGGTATGAGTGGAGTAATTAGTAGGTGTGGTCAACCAGGCTTGCATGCATGCAGGATCCATAGATATTTCCAGCACTCTAATATCTATGGTAGGATTTTATTTAGGAAGTCAAAATTTGTGGTTTAAAAATTGTTTACACAGTCAAGTACTGCAGCTGTTTCACAGTTTACCTAGATAAAACTAATTTTATACTTCACCAGATAAATTTTTGGGCCCTAAATCCGCCCGGCCCTGAATTCATTGAGCTTATGAGGGGCATTTTTGTAAAACCTAGACCCTGGTAAAACAAAGGCTCTAGCTGCGGAAACATAACTTTTTTTTTAATTCTAGACACTGAATTCAGTCAGTGTTAGATCTACCAATAGGAATGCCAATCATGAGTGACAAAGACCGACGGTCAACCGCAC